AATTTTCTAAAAAGATTTATTTAAAATCCAATATCACAAAACGCTCGAGAGCCTTGGCATTCACCGCCCGCTTGGCCAAAGAAATCGTTCTTTCTGGAATTTCAAAAGCATTTGATCAAAAAGTCAGTTTATCGCTGAATAGCTAAAAATGAATTTTAAAGATTCTTCACAATCTTGTTTTGCTTTTCTTTACAAAAGTAAAACTATTTGCTATAGATGAGCTATTTTATAGATTACCCAAACCTTTACAAATTAAACGCAAAAATACGTTAGAAACTATGTTTGCAAGCTATCAGGTAAAGATCAAGTGGATGTTCAAGACGTTTAGTTCAAGACGTTTAGTTCAAGAGTTCAAGTGGTCCGATCGAAAAACCAAAGATACCACTCGATTCCTTGTCAAATTTTGACTTTATAATGTGCAATTTTGATGAGACTAAAGTTCTCGAGAACACCATCAAATCGGTCGTCAAAGTTGGCTACTCAGGGAATTCACAATCTTGACGATAGTTGAGTGATTAAACATGAATTAAGCTTTTAAATCCTTTTATTAGAACCCTTCATCTTGGCTTCAATACTTCAATACTCCGCTTGAACTCCTCTTAAACCAAACGTCAATTACCTTAACAAATTTTGGGCTTTTTGGGCATTTTGATCGCGTACAATCGCGTAGTCGTTAAAAATTTTACTGATAATTTGACGAAAACTCAAAGATAAACTAAACTATTATACTCATTCGATAGCCCTGAATCTCCTCTTGAAAACTAGTACAAAGTCATCGAGAATATTCTACGAAATGAACAACAAAAGTTCTTAAAAACTTGAGTTGACACCAAAAAAGAATCGTCATTATAACGGATCGTCGTGAAGGTGTGTATAATAAAGCAAATTCTCGTCTTTTTTAAGTTTTTAAGCTATATCTTGGCTGTAGCTTCGGTTTAAACCGGTTTAATTCCTCTTTAACACATTCGCGACGAGGCGTTTTTTTGTGTTACTGCCCCAGTGGATGAGGAGTGTCTTGCAAAGCTATTAGCCCAACTATTTCAAAGCGCAACCTTATAGTTCTTGATTAGAACTAATCGAATCTTTTTGCATTTTGAAATTATCTTAAAAAGTTGAAAAGTTATAGCGCGTCAAAAATTTCGTCCACCGGTGGACTGAATTGTCCCAGGGACCAGACGGCCTTCGTCCACCGGTGGACCGAATTGTCCCAGGGACCAGACGGCCTTCGTCCACAGGTGGACCGAATTGTCCCAGGGGCCAGACGGCCTTCGTCCACAGGTGGACCGAATTGTCCCAGGGACCAGACGGCCTTCGTCCACCGGTGGACCGAATTGTCCCAGGGACCAGACTTGACTTTATCGGCTTGGAAAATGTGCCCAAAAAACCCTTGGCACGCAACATTATTCAAGCTCTTTCTAGTTCATTTTCAAACGGAAATCGGTTTTATCACTTTTTTTGAGAAATTGAAGCTTTAAGAGTAACATTTGGATAATTCTTTAAGTTAACTTTGAGATTAATCGATGAAATTTGCCAGTTTCTAGAAAAATTCATCAAAATTTATCGTCTTCAAGAAGCCGATTTCATGTTTCATCCAGAGCTCATAAAAACACCAAATGCTTAAAGATTTTTGATGAAAAACATTTGCTTTGAGCTTCTTAACTAGAAAAGAGCTAAATAAGTCATGCTGAAAACCCTTAAAACCGGTTCATGAAAAGCTGCAGATTGAGTTGTGTGGGTAGGGTTGTTTCAGGCGCATCTTTCAAGCTTTTAATGAAAATCTCATTCTACAGCATCCTACAATTCGTATAAAGAAATTCTTCATAGACAATTATCGAAATTTTCATATCAAAGAGGAATTTGAATCGGTTCGCGAAGCTTCGGCCAAGATCTAAACCAAAAGCTGCGAGGGGATCATTTGCGGTCACCCTGTATGTGTCTCGCAACTGTAATTTTCTGTATCAGCCAAGATCAAAACGAAAAAATGCGAGGAGATCATTTGCCGTCACTCTGTATGTGTCTCACAAGGAACTGTAATTTTTTAAATCGGAAATCCTCACTCACAACACCGCGTCAACGGCCAAAATTGTCCATCACCGCAAAAGCCATCACAGGCGTAAACTCGAATAACTGAAACTGATCATATTAGCAACAAAACTTATGACTTTTGGCTACAGCAGGATTACTACAGTAGGATTTTTTAAATGCTTGAAATTGGTACAAGTAAACAGTAAAGTAAAGTGGTACAAGTAAACAGCAAAAATTCGTGTGCCTGGCCGTTGTTTAAAAAGCTGAAAGAAAATTGCTATAGTTCAATGCTAATTATGTATGTATCTGCCAAAGCATATCTGTGAATCCAACTCTTATACTTTTAAAAGGCATACAAACCGGATAAATCAGAGTTGTATGCTCGCTCCCTACGCAAAAATCCTAGATTTAGTCGGTTAGTTTTATCACCTTCCGTTCCTAGGCATTTTATTTTATTTATCTTATTTTTATCACATTACCAGCCGAATCAGAGTTATATCAAAACATTTAAAGCAAAAAAGTTTGGAAAGAACGGGAATCGAACCCGACACCCTCCTCGGGGTAGTCGTTTTGTAGACGAGAAAATTTTCACGTTGATTTTTCAGGGCTCATCGTGGTATCAAAAATGGTTTTGCCTCAGGCGTCACACAACAAGATCAAGTTGATTTTTTGATGATTTTGTGAATAGGGAGCTTGCATCAAACACCCAGTATATCTTAATCCTTCAAAGCAATATCGGAACCAACCCTGGTACTCTCCGAAGCACTACTGACATCTAGACTGGGATGCTCGGCCGACTAACGTCACGCCGAGCACCCCTCCGAGACCCCTGTAACAATAGCTTCGCTGCGAAGCAACTCAAATTCTCGATCAATCAAAAAAAAGTTTGTCGAAATCGGGTCACGGGGAGTGTGACGAACAGACGAACGGACGAGCAGACGAACGGACGGACAGACGGACGGACAGATGGATAGACGGATAGACGGATAGACGGACAGACGGACGGACAGACAGACAGCGGACAGACGGACGGACAGACGGACGGACAGACAGACAGCGGATAGACGGACCGACAGTCGGACGGACAGACAGACAGCGGACAGGCGGACGGGCAGACAGACAGCGGACAGACGGACGGACAGACGGACGGACGGACACTTCTCTTTTATTTATAGTAGATTGTTTCTTAGGAATTCACGTGAATTCATTTGAAGATAGTGCTTAAATTTAACGTCAGATTTATCATTCATTCATTTAACAAGTTCGAATTTAGATTTGAATTTGAATAGATTTAATTTCAGTCTTTACAATTTTTCCTTCTTGTGTTCGATAAGTTTACTGTGTGTCATTTTGTGAATTAAACATGTTCTCTTGTCACTTTTTCATATTTACATGAATCAACTATATAGTGTGGCTAAAAATAGCTAAAAGTATTTAAAAAACTAACTCTTTGCCTTGACGAAAGCTATAATGAAAAATATTAGCAGCAGTGAATGTAATGAGACAAAACGCATTGAATAGGTGAATGATCGTCGGCGTTAAACCAATACAGATTATTGGTTCTTCAAATAGAATGTAAAAAGAATGTGAATAAGATTTTGGAATGAAATTCGATCAGCTGTGATCAGCGAAAGTGTCGGGCGTGAAATGAGAGTTCGGAAGAGAAAGTGAGTGGGTGAAATGAGGAATCGGTCGAATGAGTGGAACAGCCAGCCGTCTCTCTTTTCTGGAAGTGGATCTCTTTTAAATTTCATTCATCTTCACCGCCAATCTCATGCCATTCACCATACCTTTTGGATTCGATTTCATTCTCATATTCGATCAAAAATTCCATCGCTTTTATGGGTTTTTTACTGGGTAATTAGGATTGTTTTATGGCGATGTGTCACGCTAAAGTTTTGAATTGGAATAGCAAAAGAAGCAATATGTTTTGATATTTGCTTCAAATGCTAATTTATATTTGCAATAGTTTTTAAAATGAAGATTCCATTTTAGAATTGTTTTTATACGTATTTACTGTACCATACTTAGAGGGCTGATGATTGCCATGATTGAGCTGATGATTGAGCTGATGATTGTCCTGATTGAACTGATGATTGAGCTGATGATTGTCCTGATTGAGCTGATGATTGTCATGAGTGAGCTGATGATTGAGCTGATCATTGTCCTGATTGAACTGATGATTGTCATGATTGAACCAGAGAGGAGGGAAATTAGCTTCCTATGGAGTAAGGAGATCGAGTGCGTTCTGGTGTAATGGTTCGCACATTTGCCCGATAAGCTAAGGGTTGGGGGCTTGAGTCCCAGAGTTTTTGATCTGCCCTAGTTTCAACTCATTTGCTCAAAAGTGTAGGCATCAGTGAGATTGTACTCGATCAAAGTTGGTTGAATTGAAAAGTTGAAATGGAGTTAGTTGAATAGCGTAGTTCTGATTGATTTTGAATACAAGAGTCAGTGAATCGATATTTCTTTTAAAGAGTCCATGGTTGAGAATGTGATAACATAGAGAACGATTCACTTGGAGACATGCAAAGGCTTGGATACGTTCTGGACACATAGCTTTCAAAGATGGCAAGCGATTCAAAAGCTAGCTGCTTTGATAGTGGAACCTTAGGTCTATAATGGTTAGCAGGTCTAATGGTTAGCAGGTTAACTCAAACGGTTATGTTTGGTTTTAATCTCTAATGATAAACGGGCCAATCCAGTCAGTCCATTCTATTTCTAAATCACAAAATTATTAAGTGTTTTTCGAATGATCTTGCGAAACTTTTAATAAACGGCTAATGAGATCAAGTGAAATTCTAAGAATGACAAAAAGTTGACACGAAAGATTGGCGGATCTTTAGAATGACAATGCAAGACAAAAAAATAATCAGAATACCCATATAAGACTCAGATTTGTTTGTCGATGTTTGATGATAAATTTCACAAAAAAGTTTCGAAGCCAAAAGTTCCAAAGCTTAGTCCAAATGTCAATAGTCCAAATGTAGTCGATACTCAAGCTCCAATGGACAATCGGATGCTCTTTGCCGCCATCTAAAAGACAACTATATTATAACTAAAAGACACCAGCTTTTCAGAATCTTCTTCAACAACAATTTGTAAATAAAGAATAGAGCTTTCTGATAAAACAAACCATAGATCGTTCATTATTTATCTCAAAAAGTTAGCTTTAAACAAGCGGACAAGACTTTCCGGTCAACCTGTTAATCACTAGCCAGCTTAAGAGCTTTATAAATATAGATATAAGCTTTATAAATATAGATATAAAGCTTTATAAATATCGGTTTGCTTTCGGCGAACAAGCGGACTAACTTTAGCTCAAATTTCTTTCATTTCTGCTAATCCCAACGATCATCAGCCAATCACAACGATCATCAGCTAATCACAACGATCATCAGCCAATCACCTGGTCATTCGAATGAATTGCATCGAGAAATCTTTCCCCATCAATTCGTTATTGCAAAAGATGTCCAATTCTTGATATCGACTCACATCTTTCCATAAACACATTGCCAAATATCTAGAAATTACATAAAAGCTTTGTTAGAAATTCACTTTGTTAGAAAAAAACCTTTTCAAAGTGTTTATCGTAGCCAATGATGATAATCGGATGATGTTTCGAGCAGCTTTGGCTAAGCCTTCGCCTGGCGACAATTCCACCACAGTCTGGAAGGTTTTGCTAAGTATTTGATTCCTAATTCTTTTAGTTTAAAGCTTGTCGCTTGAAGCTTGAAGCTTGAAAACACATATCTTATCTTAATACAAAATTTGAATACATAAATTCACCTGATTTCCATCTCGATGATGTGATAGAATTGCTTTGCCCTCGAAGCATTTATTGTAAGCGCCGACAGTTGGTTCATCCTGAAAATTGAAAATGAATCAGTTTACTAAAGATTTATGGTGATTGTTTGTATGAAAGAATAGATTTCTTGAGCTTATCTGCAACTCTGACTAATTCAAAAGGCTTTGTATCCATCAAAAGCTAGATCCGGACCTGGCTTCTAGCCGGATATTGGACTAGTCTGAGAATTTTTGTTCACAAAAAGCCCTGGGACGGTTAGGATTGAAGCTGGATTAGGAGCTGACTCTTGACTTTTTGTTAGTCTATCCTGGCCTGGCTTGTACTGACTACAACCTAGGGCTCTATTGAAACAATCATAAGGTGGCCGACAATTATAGCGCCGCACTTCAGAGCCCTAGATTGACCAAGATTGGATCAATCGTTCTGATCTTTCTGCAGACAAATCATTGTCGTTTTCCTTGTGTAAGTTTCGTGCTTTTCCACTCAAAAGATCTACCGCTTGTGAGAGTCTGAAGTCACAAATGACGTCAGTAGTACTTTAAACGGCATTTGTACCGATGTTTACAGTTTTTGATTACTTAATGCTCCTAAAGGAGTGCCATTGATGGCGTCTCCTTTTTCACACTATAGAGTGGCTCACAATTATAGCGCCGCACTTCAGAGCCCTAGATTGACCAAGATTGGGTCAATCGTTCTGATCTTTCTGCAGATAAATCTTTAGTATATCTTCTAAGACGGTGCCCATTATCTAATCGATTCAACCTTTCAACTTTTTTATATAACCTTCCAAAGTTGAGAGCCGAGTGTCGCTCGACAAGCTACTCATTTATAAGATTTTTGAGAGCGATCTTGTCAAAATCTTGTTGAGGTGGAAGTTATTAGGTTAATGAACGAAATCACACATTCTTTACGCAATTTAAGTGCAAAAACTCTTCAGAAATGTCATCAAAACTCGCTTAAAATGGTCTACAGGCCAGTAGCCAGGATTTCGGTGTTGGGTTTTTTGGAGAATCGTTAGAGCTTCGTCCAGAAGCGCCCAATCAATTTACGGGAATTTAGCAAAAGCTTTAAGCTAAGAAGTGAGTTAAAAATCCAATTTAAAGCTTGTGGAGCGAGCTAGAGGCGCTCAAAGTTAGGCAGATGCGCAAAAGAGTCGTGACAACCCAACTTTGAGCCCCTCTGGCTCGCTCCACAAGCTTTAAATCGGATTTTTAGCCCACGAGTCCTATGTAAAACAACACGGAGAATCGATTGGCGGCGGTTAGAAGTTTCCTGGATAACGACTAAGGGTATAAAATGTCAATGCTGGTAAAAAGCAAAGTCAAATGGCAACTTCAAGAAGGTTTCTTCTTTTTCAACTTCTTTTTCACCACTAACCTTTTTCTTCCCACTCTCCGGCTCCTCAACAATTCCCTCCTTTTTATTCTTCCGTCGAATAAAGTCAAATCTTCGCTTTTTCTCCTCAGCAAACATGCCTGAAACTTTGATTTTTACAGAACACTTTTTGATAGATTTTCTTGTTTTGATTCTGAACTAACCGGGTACAAGCCGATAAACGATATCCTGCAGTGTTCTGTCAAAGGCCACATAGTGAGAGGGATGAGATTGGTGAATCAATTCACCGCATTGTGGGCAATTGTTGTTCACTTCCTGAATTGAATAGTTTACTCGGATACCCCTGTGGTTAGAGTAATTCCCCTGGAAAGCAAAAGGTCGAGGCTTCAATCACCTCTCCGAAAACCTATTTAATGATATCCGTTAGCTGAATTGATTGATCCTTTTTGATTCTCCAATTATTGAGTTACTGTTATCGGCTGTTTGGATTGGTGAATTGAAAACTGCGGGCTATTGTCATAAGTGACAGTTTGAGCACTTTCTTCAAAAGAAACCCATTTTGGTGTCAATAGAAAAGTTGTAGCGAATCAAAAATCAAGCTTATATCCAAATTTTCAGAACGATTCAAAAACTGGTTTTTAAGAAATGCGAAATTGAAATGCGAATACGAATTTTCACGAAACTTGCAACAAAACTTGCATTTTAAGCGGAACTACTACGTGTATCTTTTTGGAAATTTGGCTATAAGCTTAATTTTTGATTCTCTACAACTTTTCTATTGACACCAAAATGGGTTCCTTTTGAAGAAAGTGCTCAAACTGGGACATCTCCAGTCTCCATCTCCAGTCCTCCATTTTTGAGTCTCACACTTGTCTCACACACAAACCAAAATCCTACTACGAAAGAGGAATCCGCAAATTGCCCGTAAAATGGACAGAAGTCGTCAATAATAATGGAGATTATTTGGAATGAATTGATGGTTTTATGTTGAATAAATTTTAGTTCAAAGTCCTGCAGTTTTCAATTCACCAACCCAATAGAAATGCTTTACTAGAACTGCTTTACTAGAACTGCTTTACTAGAACTGCTTTACTAGAAATGCTTTACTAGAAATGCTTTACTAGAAATTCTTCAAGATTTTTACAGAAAGATGAACTGGAGTGGCACGGCTCAACAATTGAAAAGTTGAAAGATTTAGCTTAAAAGGATTGTTGAAATTGAAAGATTTCAGGTTCAAGCTTTTACAAAGGACTAATGAAGGCCTTAATTTTTTTAAACTTTTGACACATCAAAGCAGCTTACCCCCTTAGAATGTTAAGAATGCTAAGAATGTTAAGAGTGCTTGTGTAAGAGTTTAAGTTTAACGATCAAGCAAAACTGCTAGCGGATAAATGGTGTGATAAAATAAAATAGCGCAAACGTTTTTTTAGTTTTTTGATTGAGTTTTGAAAAGAGTTAAGAATAAAGCGCTTTCGGAAATGTGTCACTTTTCGAAATTTACCCTAATCTTATTTATTCTTGGGCTGGTTTTGTCAAAGTTACTGAAGAAGAGATCGATTTAGATTAGATTTAGATTTGACAAAATTTGAGCCAAACGATATTCTTCAAAAATTGAAATCTCTTATTGAAAATATATTTTTCAATTCACCAACCCAATCGAAGATCGATTTTAATCTTTAGACCTTCATTTTAAAAGCCTATTTAGAAGTAATCAATTCACCAATTGATCCACGCTTTGCTCCATTAGAAAGGCCTAATATTTTCCTATAAAAGATCGTTGAAATCTAAAGAAATGTTTTGTTTCTGTTTTTTTATTCGCAGATTTGAACGTCAAAAACGACTCGATTACACGATTTAGACACTTTCGTTCAAAGAAACCTTGCCAATTCCTTCACTTCTTTATTGTTATCAAATGTACTGTGCTTTACCTTAAACGACGTAGGCTTGTTAATGCAAAAATCTAGTCGGAAACTCAATTCTGATTTGCCAACTTCACTTACTTCAAAATGTTTCAGTAAACAAGATTTGCAAAAGGTGTGCAGACATTCGATGACCGTCGTTGCGTCAACGAAATACCCCTGTAAATTGGATTTTAAATCTAATCATAGTTTAAAAGAATACACCGGCGACATATGGTTTATTTACGATATACCTCAATCACGATACAATAACACACACAATACTAGGCTATTTCTTAACTTAATCCACGCCATGACAGGCGGCTCCCTAACTCAATGGGAAACTAAATAGCTTTTTCTGGTGGTGGAGGGAAGATGACGATGAAGGAGTGGCTTGTCACTTTAAAGAACTGGATCCACAACCACCAGATTACCCTCCCGGGTAGTCTGGTGGTTGTGGTAGAATGGTAGAACTGGTAGAATGGTAGAACTGTGGTAGAATGGTAGAACAAAAACTGGTAGAATCTTTCAACCCGAAGAGAAAGGAAATCGACGCTGTCGCACACTGGGTTCGAACCCTTGACCTTCCGATTAAGATAAAAGACACTTAAGCAGTCAGCCAAACATGGCTTTGTTTAATTTTGTGTTTAATCTTTTCGTTAACAGTTTTGAACTGACCTTGCATAGCCGACAGGTGATGTGATCGTTTAGTTTTGTCAACGGTAGCAAATACGAGCTTTTGTAGTCCTTCGCGTCAAAGCCCTCTTCCTGAATTGTTTTTTATTCCTTAAGCTGAATGATTGGCTAGTAAATATTGGATTTGTTATGATTTTTATGATTGTTATTATGTCAGAATCGAATTTTGTCGTCAGAATCCGATCCTGACAATTGAATCGAAGCCTGAGAACAGAATCGGATTCTGACGACAGAATCCGACTCTGTCGTAACATTTCATTACCCGATCGATTACCCGATCTTTACTCTACGTTTACCAAAAGAAACATCTAGCTGACGTCTAGCATCTAGCTCAATTCAAACATCTAGCATCTAGCTCAATTCAAACATCTAGCATCTAGCTCAATTCTTCCACTAATAGTAAAAAGAGGCACCAGAAAGGATGTGTTTCTATTCTAACCACAAAAAGAACAGAACAGATAGATTTTCTTCTAATAGAACGAATTTCAAATATTAAATCCACCCTAAACTGTTCTTGCAGTGTACTTTGTACTTTAACGTGACACATCTCTTCTCGTACACTCAATTCTTCATTTTTCTAGCAGCAACGATTGATTTGGCAAGAAAAAAACTCAGGAATCTGCATTAGAAAGTGCACTAGAAAGAGTTTTTCATTTCCCGAGCTCAAAGTGGATTCAAAAGAAATATAAACTGAAAATTCTCAAAATTCACTTACTTTTACATCCTTTTCAGGTCCATTTCTCGTTTTTCTTCCCTTTTTAATCGGTGGTTGTGCTTCTTTTTCTCCTTTTGAAGTCGATCCCTCATCATTTTCTCGTTTCTCTTTCCTTTTCATAATCTAAATTTAAATTTGATAAAGCTAAGGAATGATTTCGATTTGGAAATGAAAAAAAAAGCAAATACTGGGGTTGGGACAAATGCGACCTTTTTTTTTTGCGCACCTGGACATTTGCGCACCTTTTTTTGCTGGAAAAGGCCTTAGGAAAGGTCGTAGAGCTTCAAAAACGTTTTCATAGAAGGGAATCGTATGCGTAGATTCCGAATTTCGACAAATCAGACCTCGCTGACACGTCAAATTTGGGCTAAAAGGCAAAAACTACGCAACTTTACGCTTTTCCGCAGTTTTGGCCTTTTAGCCCAAATTTGACGTGTCAGCGAGGTCTGATTTGTCAAAATTCTGAATCTACGCATACGATTCCCTTATATGGAAATATTTTTGAAGCTCTACAACCTTTCCTAAGGCCTTTTCCAGCAAAAAAAAGGTGCGCAAATGTCCAGGTGCGCAAAAAAAAAAAGGTCGCATTTGTCCCACCCCCCAAATAATGAATAACGAATAATTAATAACAAATAATCAATAACCAATAATCAATAGCAAATAACAAACAAACAAAAATATAAAAATAGAGTATAGTTATTAAAAGTGATCGTTTGGAAATGGGTTTTTGAACAATTTTGAACAATTTTGAACAAAAAAACAAAGTCAAAACAATTCAATTCTATTTTCTAATTTTCTCAAAACGATTTAGCTCTATTCCCGAATTATATTGACAAGTGTTTCCTTTTTTATTTTGTTTTATAAAAAGCTAAACCTATTGAAAAATGTTGTTACTCAAAATTTATAAAGAAATGAGCTTTTGATGAACTAAATCGCCAATTTATATTAATAAATATCGCCAATAAATTTTCTACAAAGAAAATAAACAAATCCTGGCTACTATATAAAGTTTTCTATAGAGCTGTTCGAAAAATGGGTTTTCGAAACTGTAGTGAAGTGAAAAGTTTTCATCAATGAATGCAGAAAAATGTTGAGTATTGAATGAAAACATTTGCTGTTTAAAAATTTAGATTTAAACTTTAAAAAACGGTTAAATAAAAGTGGTGGGAAATGCTAGGGAGAGTTTTGCTAGTTGGCGACGATTGGGGAAAGAGAAAGATGGAGGGGAAAAGAGAAAAGGAGAAGGGTTGACCTGGGATGGGAGTGCAGAGTGAAGGGATTGGGGAGAGGGGTGAGAATGGGAAAAAGATGAGAAATAGAGGAGAAGATGCGAAGATTTAGAGTTGAAAGATTGTGAAAAGAACTGCAAAAAGAAGATAAGTGAAAGATGGGAGAAATTAGAGTGAATGGATTGGAAAGAGATTCGAAAAGAGCATAGAGATTGGAGAAGATTGAGAGATTGAGAGGAAGGAGAAGAGAATATTGACAAGATCCAGAGATTGAAAGAAAGAAGAAGAGAATATTGACAAGATTGAGAGAAAGAAGAGGAGAATATTGGCAAGATTGAGAGATTGAAAGAAAGAAGAAGAAAATATTGACAAGATTGAGAGCTAAAGATTGAAAAGATGAAAGAAATCTAGGAAAAAGAAGTAGAGATTGAGAAAATCCAAAAATATTGGAGAAATCTATAAATAAGAATACAAGAATCAAAAAAAACTCTGAGAAAAGCAAAAGAATTTGAAAGAGATTTGAAAGAGCTTTGAAAGAGCTTTGAAAGAGGTTTGAAAAGCGAAAGAAAAAGATCTCAGGCTTTAGAGAGCAAGAGATTTTCGCGGAGAATCCAATTGAAAGAGATCACGAAAAGAGGGGAACATTGATGGAGGAAGAGAGCAGACAGGAGAGAGCGCCTTGCTAGAAAAAGCCAATAGAAAAAGACACAGAGCATTTTAATAGTCAGAGCAAAGAAAAAACACTTTTACAATTGTTGGTCAAAGCTTGTGAAAAATAGAAAAAACATTATGATTTTAATCTTTTTAAGAAAATTTAGGTCCTTTTCCAAGCAAATTCGAGTGCAAAAACTCGTTTTTCGTAAAATTCTACAAAAAGCTCTACAAAGAAATCGGCTGAACAGGCTGAAAAATGAGTCGACAAATTGTTCACTAACCATTTTGGGCAAAAAAACGATCAGTAATTGCCAAAATTGTGGATCGATCAGTAATTGCAACTTTTATTAACCCCATCGGCAGTTGGCCGCTTTTTGTAGCTTGCTTCTGGTAAAGTGTGTGTAATTTCACCCGAATTCATTTATATTCTTTCTAATCTTTTCAATAAAACATCAAAATGGTTTCATCTTGCAAACGAAACGCGCCGATAACTTGACGAGACTCCAATAGTTCCAATCGGTATAGCAAGATTTGTCGTTCAGAATCTATTATAAAAATGATTGTGGGAGATTTGGTACACGCCCTGCCCCTTTTGCCATTAGCAATCCAACTTTGAGCTCAAATATCTTGTTGTTGGGCTGTCCAATTGAAATACTTTTGGTATCATTAAATGCGTCAAGTCTTTCTCTGTCGATTGGTGCAAAAACTATTTCAATTGGACCGCCCAACATCAAGAAATTTCAGCTCAAAGTTAGATTGCCAATGGCAAAAGGGGAGGGGCGATTTTGGGACCTTTTGTACGCGTCCCGCCCTCCTTGCCATTGGCAATAGAGCGTTGAGCTCAAATTTCTTGATCTTGGGCTCTCCAATTGAAATAGTTTTTGTACTAATCGACAGAGGAAAATTTGGCGCATCTAATGATATGAAGAATATTTAAATACTTTTAATACGCCAGAAAGCATGGGTTTTCATTCTACTGCACAAAATACAATTAAGATTACCCCAAAAGCCATTGTCTCGTCGTTGATTGGAAAATAGACGTGATGTGAATAGTCAACTGGAGTCCCATCCACCCATGAAGTTGTGTTGTCAGGGTAGGCTCTAAAAAGTTGAATAAATCTTTTCGTAGAGTGACATGGAGGTGCGCTACGTTGTCTACAAAATACAAAATTTTACTTCTACGATTCCGTCTGCTCGGGTTTACATTGAGAATAACTCTCTGATTTGTAAGCATACAGGGTGTTCCAAAAGTTCTGGCACAAAAGCAGCTAGCAAATGTCTAACTTTTTAAAATGCTAAGTGTTATACAGAGATTTGAAGCCCGGAATCTTGGCTACATTTGCATGTCAAAAGTTTTCGAATTAGAAACACACAACTCATGTAACAAGCTTTTGAGTGAGCACTACTCGGTCTCTTTCCGGCATGCTGTCATTTTTGTCGATTCTCTTTAATAAAACATTTCGTTCAGAATGGCTTCCCCAAAACAATTTTCAATTTTCAAAACAACAAACAATATTCTTGTTCAAAAAATGAAGTTTAGTGCATTTATAGAGCTAGAGCAGCACATACATCAAAATTTGAACGTGAAAAATGGCGGCGTGCCGAAAAGAGACCGAGTAGTGCTCACTCAAAAGCTTGTTACATGAGTTATGTGTTTCTAATTCGAAAGCTTTTGGCATTTAAATGTAGCCAAGATTCCGGGCTTTAAATCTCTGTATAACACTTAGCATTTTTAAAATATGTTAGACATTTGCTAGCTGCTTTTGTGCCAGAACTCTCGGAATACCATGTACCAAATTCATGCGAGATTGGAAACTCAACAAGTGCGGTGTAATCGACTTAGGAAAGTGCTGAATCCAACAAAATGACTCATTTTTGGTTTTTTAGATTAGCTAAAGATAATGCGATAGGTAGAGCCGCCTACCGTAGTCCAATCCACGCCTCAGCGTACCCACAGGATCCCGTCCCGCTCGGCACGTGCTGCGTTTGATCCAAAACGTTATACGAGGCCACTAAGTCTAAAAAACTCATTCTTATTTAAACCTAAATCATCTAACCATTAACAAAGCTGTTTTCTGCATCGGAATGTATTGAGGCTAAACTTGAAGCTCGCATTTGGCATTGCTCTTGAGCGTCATCTGGAGTCCACGAAGCCCAGAGGCCATCACTACCAAGAGTGAAATTCTAAAGAGTTCAATTTTTTATTGAAGTTTCAACAAAGTTTCAACAAACTTGCACAAAATAACAATATCCGTTGAATGCTTTCCATCCATCTTTGCAATTGGCTAAAGGTTTAGATTTTAGCCGTTTTTTGGGCTGTCGTTGCCGTTCAACTTACGGGCTGTCGTTGTCGATGGTCCAGTTGGGTTGGCTGGAAGTTGCTTTAGTAATTCGGTCACTTTATTCGATACATAAAACAAGACTAGTTTTAGCTCATCTACACTAAATATCGTAATACTACAGTAGTCTTTTCTTCAGATTTTTTCATTCTACTAATTTTGATTTCGAATTGAAGAAAAGATTTACGGCAGCTTTTAGAGATCCCGAGCTTTTAGAGATCCCGAGCTTTTAGAGATCCCGAGCTTTTAGAGATCCCGAGCTTTTAGAGATCCCGAGCTTTTGGAGATCCCGAGCTTTTAGAGATCCAGAGCTTTCAGAGATCCAGAGCTTTTAGAGATCCCGATTAACTCTTTTTGGTGCCTAGTGCCTTTTTACTACCTTGCACTGGCATCTGGCAAACATACGGTGACGCCGTGTCACAGCTCTGTGATTGCCAACTTCCCGACCTTGGATCAAGCACCGCACAACCGTACGCGCTATTTGGTTCACCTAAAATGCTTTTATCCACTATAATTTTCTTTTCCCCGTACCTGATTTCCATTTCTGATAGCTTAGAAAGGATCCATCAGCGTAGATCCAAGTTCCATCGGGCAACTTCTCGACACCGATGTAAATCAGACGATTGTTCAGAGCTAATAGTGAACGTTTGCATTCAAATTTCAAATTAGCATTGATATCTTTTCAATTCTTTGAATCTTTTCAATTCAAAGTATAGAATTTTTACCAGAAAGTCCTTGAGCTGTGACAAGGGCGTTAAAGAAAGCGTCTGTGATCTTGACAATGTCACCTCCCGATTTCTCACAGGAGCGAATCGCTTGAGTGTATGAGGTTTCTAGATTTCACAAATCAAGTGGAAAACGTTGGATTTGCGCACTTTGAACTCGAATTGATTTGATTTGAACTGAAGCAATGAATTGAACTAAACCAAAACACAACGTATTTGTGTAAATGAGAGCATTTCATTTACACAAATAACATTTTCTACATTTTTCACTCTTTTTCTACATTTTTAGAGCATTTTTTAGCATTAGAAAACCTCAAAATACCGGAAAAAAATTTTGATAGCAAAAAAGGTTTTCGAAATCCCTCTAGTTTTGTCTTTTGCTATCGAAATTTTACTGTATCCTTTCAACTCTAATATTAGCCATAGCCATATTAGCCATTAGCCATAGCCATATTAGCCATTAGCCATAGCCATATTAGTCATTAGCCATAGCCATATTAGCCATTAGCCATAGCCATATTAGCCATTAGTCATAGCCATATTAGCCATTAGCCATAGCCATATTAGCCATTAGCCATAGCCATATTAGTCATTAGCCATAGCCATATTAGCCATTAGCCATAGCCATATTAGCCATTAGTCATAGCCATATTAGCCATTAGCCATAGCCATATTAGCCATTAGCCATAGCCATATTAGTCATTAGCCATAGTCATATTAGCCATTAGCCATAGCCATATTAGCCATTAGCCATAGCCATATTAGCCATTAGCCATAGCCATATTAGCCATTAGCCATAGCCATATTAGCCATTAGCCATTATCAGCCATAAAAACCTTACCTTGATCTTCGACTCGTAAACAACTATTCTCCTGTGGCACCTCGAACCATCCATTTGGGCAAAAAGCCGCAATTTCATGAACAAATAAAGCAACAATTATCAATTTAAACATTTCTCAGCACGATTGTTTATTCGCTTGAAGCATTCGACGAATTCTTATCACTTTCGATAATCGGATCAAAGTATAAGCCAATGCAGTCAATGTCTATTAACTGAGGGTTTTTGATAAGCAATTTGTCGAATTTGTACTTTTCTTTGTACTTTCATCAGAAAATTCGATGGAAATTGTGAATTTGTTCAACGATTTATTGTGGGTTAAAACTCAGCAATGGATCAGTGACTTGAATGCCGATTTTCTCTTGTTGATTGCGGAGATTGTGCTCGAAGCGCTTTCGCTGGCTCGCCAATGTCCATTCGGAACGATGTGAGCAAATCAACATCTAAAATTTCTTGACACTCTGGACAGATGACGAATAACACTATTTTTATTCTTTTCAGAATCATTTTCAATTCAAACTTACCCTTTGCTCAGGAAGAATTCTCATCAAAAAGCAAGAGGCAAAGTATTTGGCGAATAGCGAGCGAATCTAAAGTTTTCTAAAGCGAATCAGCAATTTTCACATCCTACCTGCTCCTCTTTGTGCTCTGGATTCTCATAAGCAACAATGTTAACGACCAGGCCACCTGGAAAATGATATAGAACTGATTAGAGAAGATGTTTGATCATAAACAATTGTAAGACTAGTTGTATTGTGACCGCGAATTATAGCGACTCACTTTTGAGGATCTAGCTCATCGAGAACTCAATGAATCCGTTTGAAATTTTTGGAGGTGATTTTTGAGTGTGTTTCCTGTAGCTAAGCCCATTTTCTCACTGATTGGTGCTTTTAGAATCATTATATAACCTTACAAAGTTGAGAGTCGCGGTGTACCTGATGCAAAACTCAATTTAAGGACCGAAAATCGAATTTCTCAGAAAATCTTGAACAGAAAATCGAATTCCTATGAGTTATTTGATCTTTTGTTTAATCTGTTTGATCTTTTTTGTCTTAAACGTGATCATATTCAGTAAATAACTTCAAAAACGGCTTTAAAAAACCTTAAATTAGGTTTTTCGCAAGGTGCACCTAACTCTCAACTTTGCAAGGCCATATAAAGATTCTTGAAGCACTAATCAGTGAGGAAATGAGCTTGGCTACAGAAGAAATACTCAAAAATCACCTCCAAAAATTTCAAACGGATTCATTGAGTTCTCGCTGAGCTAGACCCTCAGAAGTGAGTCGCTATAATTTGCGGTCAGACTGTAGACTAGGCTAATAACAAGACTAGGCTAATAACATAATCGTGATCTACCTATTCTAGGCTTTCGTTGAGTCAACCTTGATTTTTGACTTAGCCTTAGCCTTTCCTTGGCCATGGCTTTTTAGCCCCCAACTGGCCTTGGTTTTGATTCAACTTAGCCTGCAAAAACTGGCTTGGTTTACCTTGCTGGCAGTTATGTTTTGGGTTTAGCTGATAAAACCTTTTTGTTACATAATTTCTTTACCCATCGGATTGATCAGCTGAGCAATATTCGCGATCGTTTCCTCTTCTCTAAATCCATCAATCGGACAAATGACGACTCTCGCTTTATCATTCGAACAAGCGTCCAAAACGACGTAATCGTAAATTTCTCCTTAAATGAAAAGAATTTTTGAAGATTTGAATTGAATAATTGAATAATTGAATAATTGAATAATTGAATAATTGAATAACCTATTCACCTTTTGCTTTGATCTCCTTTGCGTACTCAATTCCATCAGCGATAATAATCCGATTTGATCCAGTTGCTTTGTTCGCAAAGTATGTTTCAGCTACTTCAACCATTACTGGATCGATTTCAATTGTTGTTACATCGATCTGAATTTAATTGTGGTTAAATCGATCGATAGAAAAATACTATTCTTACATTTGCCTTTGGAAATTGTGAAATGTAGTTTTGAAGAGTGCCGCCACCAAGGCCAAATGCGAGAATCCGATTGGTTTTCTTTTCAAAAGTTAAGGCCTAAATTCGTTAAATTTATTGGTTGGAAACTTTTCAAGGTAGTATTAAGTATACTGTTAACTAGACATGCTTTTGGACCGGGTAAGATCGGATCGGATCGATTGGATCGGATTGGATTGGATCGGATTGGATTGGATCGGATTGGATCGGATTGGATTGGGTCGGATCGGATTGGATCAGATTGGATCGGATCGGATCGGATCGGATTGGATTGGATTGGATTGGATTGGATCGGATTGGATTGGATTGGATCGGATTGGATTGGATTGGATTGGATTGGATTGGATCGGATTGGATCGGATCGGATTGGATTGGATCGGATTGGATTGGATCGGATTGGATTGGATCGGATCGCGATCCGAAAAACGAATTTTCGGACTCTATTTAGAGCGACATCAAAAATCTAAGAATATCATCTTAAAGCTTTCACAAAATACTTCAAAAAACTAATTGGGATCGATTTATTTGAATGCGATCTAACGGGAGAAAAATAAGAAAACATTCGCCGGCCAAGAATTTTTTTGACATGGTACAATAGACATGGTTTCGGATCGGACCGGATAAAATCGGGTCGCGATCCGATCCGCTCCAATTCGACCCGAGCCTGATCCAAACTGAGTAATACAATTATTAGATGGATTGCTACAAACAAAACAAATCTCAATTGATGAGTAAAACGCACAAAAAACTTAACGCTAAACGATTTTTAGTAAAGGTACACAGATTGCAGAGAAATTTGGTGATTTTTGATCATTTTTCGGATCCGATTCAAACTGATCCGATCCGATTCGATCCGAAAAACAGATTTTTTGGATCAGATCCATTTCGACGCAATCCGAAAACATGTCTACTGTTAACTACTATTAATGTATAATGTATACTAGATCAAGATTAACAGTAGATTAAAGTTAACAGTAGATCAAAGTTAACAGTAGATTAAAGTTAACAGTAGATCAAAGTTAACAGTAGATTAAAGTTAACAGTCGATCAAAGTTAACAGTCGATCAAAGTTAACAGTCAATCAAAGTTAACAATCGATCAAAGTTAACAGTTTTCATTTTAAACAAATGATATTCAGTCTTTGATTCTATTGGCATTCTTTGATTCTATTGGATTCAAATTTTAATTGACAACTCTGATAATTTTCTTGATCTTTGGTTTTATCAAATGAAGATCTTTAGAATGAAAAACTTCTAAACTAATAAAAACTTTTGTAGATGAGAAATTTTGGGATATTATACCTCTAGGAGGCTTGATTCAATACGATTTTACCCCAAAGTTTGTATTTTCAAAAAAATCTGCATTTACCACGCTAAGAGACATGGAAATAAACAAATCAAAAAGTAAAAGGACTATCAAAAATCAAAGGGAAACAATTGAACAGTGTTCTGTGCAAGATTTTTAGCCTAAAAGATGCAAGATGTCTTCTTGAAGTGTGCTAAATGCTATTTTGAATTTAAATTAATGGATAATGGATGGATTAATGGATTCTTATTGGTGATTTGCGTATAGTAGTTAAATTTTTTGGTTTAGTATTGAATTTGAATGAGATCTACACTACTGGACAATGAAATATCATATTTGAAAAAAGATCGTCACTTTCGCGCGTCTGTAACTCCCTTGCCTTTACCGTATTTCTAAATATTAATATTACCATTGTGTAGCCCTTGAAAAGAGCTTTCAGAAAATGTATAACACTAATAGTTTAAACTCAAAGACAACGGAGTTACAGGCGCGCGAAAGTGACGATCGTTTTTCAAATACCCTAAAGTCTAGAGTATAAGTTGATCCGAGTATAAGTTCTGCCTTAATTTACATTCGCTTTAATTGCTTTGAATTTCTTTTTGTTGGGTTTTTATACATTTTTATTGTTATATAAACTTTTATTATTGTTCTTGGAGCGCGGGATACTACAGGGTGACAGCCTATCACCATTGCTATTTGTTATGGATACGTCCAGACGATAGTGTTGAAGAAGACCCTGGAAAGCATCTCTTTCGACCGTCCACGTGGACTTTGGCCGGATGAAGAGGCCAGGGAGGGATCCATAAGACTGAGCACCGGGGAGGAGCAGGGCGGACGCGCCGAACCACGCCCGGAGCAACAAATAACAGCCATAACAGCAACAAATAACAGCATAAAATTGCTATAACCCTCAATAAATTTACTTCTATTATTGTTCTTAAAAAGCAAAAAAGTTATGCTGCAGCGGGGTTCGAACCCTCGACACACCGCACCGGAGACAGCCGCCAATTTGCATGCGAAAACCAAACAGAACTTATACTCGCGACTTTAGGGTACAAGATTGAGCCTCATTTCAAGCTCCTATTTCATTCTATCTCATAGTCGGTCATTAGTATTTCTTTGGAATAACTGTAAGGATAGTTTTCATCAAAGACACCAGTACAGTTGTCCCAAGAAACAATAGACTTTTTTTTGATCATACTTCTTCCAACAATATTCAGGAATGAAGCAATATCACTCTAGGCTTTCCTTTTAGACTTTTCTTTTAGACTTTCCTTTTAGACTTTCCTTCTGGGACTTTGACTTCAACGGTAATCTTAATCGGTAAACAGAACTTATACTCGCGACTTTAGGGTAACTCTTTTCTCGATCTTTTTCAACTGCATAAACACCTCACCTCAATCATATACCCGCTTGCCAACATAATCATCACATAGGGCGTTATCATCACATTTTTATCGATACCCCAATTTGCCGTATTTGAATTGGCTTCAGTTAGCTCTTCTGAAAGTTTATGTAAACCTTTATTTATGATTTATTTGTGATTACTTGGAAATGTGAGCACTGCTTGTGATAGGGAAGCTGTTTGAATCTTTTCCGGTACGATGTCACGTTGCACTCGCATTCTGGAATTTTGCTAACAGCTATTGCATGTTTCTATGTATGATGTTGGGGTTTTTGGATAGAGGAAAAGAGGAAAAGCTTTTAAGACACGCCAGCATCACTCACAATCAGTTTTTTAAAATTAGAAATATGATTTCACAATCAGTTTTTACCCACTCTTCATCATGAAACTGATATGCACAATCCGTCACTTTGAAACATTCATCAACATTACTTTATGGCTTTATATATGGAAAGCGATGTGCCAGATGGAATGCGATTGTGTGCGCGCAAAGAACACTAGACAGCTCTTCTTGAAAAAAAATAGAAGAAAGGGGGGATAGAACTTGTGAGGATCTGGAATCTGGAAATGATCTGGAAACGAACGCACTACGACTCAGCCACAACTGCACAGGTTTCTGCCCGCAAGGAGGCCGCTAAGACTCCGCAAAGCCCCGCTAGGACCCACTAGGGCCCAACCACATTTTCAGAGTCCTAACAAAACTTTAGACGCTCACAACTCCATGCAGATTATCATTTAGCAAAAACGAAATACGTATTCGGAATCAGCATCAAATTCTGCGTCGAATGGTAAAGGTCGAATAGAATTTTGCTCAGCCAGTTGACCTTTCCTTATTAGTTTTTTTCTTTATTTTACTCACTCTCCGTCCTGAAACCGATATGCACGATCCATCACTTTATAACAATCACCCATCGAGCCGCAGAATTCATGGATCACTATCGGACTCTTTGCAATCAGTTCTTCTTCGATTTCTTTGGATCTGAATTGATTCGTATTTCTTGACACTCAAACTCAGCCATGTTAACTCTACACCTTTAGTAATTTTCAGATGATTACAGATCGTAATTGTCAGATGATTACAGAACATAAAGCTCTTGATTAGACCGTTCTACTTGTTCAACTCTGGCCATCAGATTTCACTTTCCCTTCCCATCCCTAGCCATCTCTAGCTCTAACCGTCCCCTTTTCGATCCTTTTCCGTTGGCAATCTACGAATTTTGCTCGTATCTTGATTGGGTTTCGTTTAAATAACGTTGAATTTCTTTTATTCGATAGAAAAATTGATTTCGAGTCGAATGAAAGAAAATTCAACGTTTTTTAAGTCGACTGGAAGTAAATTCAACGTTTTTCAAACAAATCCGTCTAAGCGATGAGTAAAATACGTAGATTGCCAGCGAAAAACGGACTGAAATAGAAGCGGGGTTAACCAGCATACTCAAAACCCACCTCTTTTTAGCTGCAGCTTCATCTTTAAACAACTCTCCAAGATCTATGTTGAACCCGTCCGAGATAATGTACTAAAATTGCTCATATCAGTGTTGTGAAAGTTTTTTTTTGGTAACTTTTGTGACAATAATATGACAGCTTTAGTCTTTTTAGCTATTTTTACAAGTTTGCACATCTAAAACGTGCAAAATTTTAGATTCAATAGTTGCAAGAATAAAAAAAACTCAATTTTTGGTTTAAAGGAGTGACTTAAAAACTAAAAAGATTAGGCTGTGACCAAGCCAAACTAGAAGAAGGCTTTAGGCTTGGCTTTAGGCTTGGGTTTAGGCTTGGCTTTAGGCTTGGCTTTAGGCTTGGGTTTAGCCTTGGCTTTAGGCTTGGCTTTAGGCCTGGCTTTGGGCCTGGCTTTGGGCCTGGCTTTAGGTTTTGCTTTAGGCTTGGCTTTAGGCTTGCATTTAGGTTAGGCCTAGGCTTAGGCTTAGGCTTAGGCTTAGGCTTAGGCTTTAGGCTTGACTTTAGGCTTGGCCTTAGGCTTGGCCTTAGGCTTGGCCTTAGGCTTGGCTTTAAGCTTGGCTTTAGGCTTGGTTTTGGAACAATCTTGATTCTAAGTACTCGTCCACTCAATAAACTCATTTGACAAATGAACAAGTTTTCTTAAAACAGACACCCGCAACCCTATTCAGACTAAAAAAACACTCACCGCCGCATACGCAATAAAAGCTGCAAGAAGTATGTAGAGGCGAAAAGAGTCGGCCATTTTTACAGAAATGAAATCAATACAGAGCTAATAAGTTGGTCAGTCTAAGCAAAAATGATATCCACATCATATTCCCCATGTTCATCCATCCATTGTGTCACCGTAAATTTCGTCTGTGTGCAGAGCTGGGCGGAGAGACGAAGAGCCAACTAAAAATGCTTCTCTTTTTGACTTTTTTTTTTTGGGGGGGATTCAGTAAATTCAATTTCTGACACAGCATTGAAATGCTTGCATACACTCGGCGTCCATAAAAATATCATAAATTTGAAGATCAAAAAAAAGATCAAAGTCATCACATAAAGACGAATGGCTGGGTTCAAAAGATTCAAAAGATAAACAGCCATTTTCTGTGCATCATATCATACAAATGAATCATTTCGTAGCTTTTGAAGACAAAGCAAAATTTTGGAAATGATCTCAGCCAAACATTGCAAACATTTTGAGTCTTGGTGAGAATTCGGGCTTCGCTTGGCTTGGCTTGACCTAACTTGGCTGGCCAGGGGACTGTGGCCAAGGGACTGTGGCCAAGGGACTGTGGCCAGGGGACTGTGGCCAGGGGACTGTGGCCAAAGGACTGTGGCCAGGGGACTGTGGCCAAGGGACTGTGGCCAGGGGACTGTGGCCAGGGGACTGTGGCCAGGGGACTGTGGCCAGGGGACTGTGGCCAGGGGACTGTGGCCAGGGGACTGTGGCCAAGGGACTGTGGCCAAGGGACTGTGGCCAAGGGACTGTGGCCAAACCAACGTTCCAAACAACCAATTTCCAACTAACAAGAAAAACGTGTAAAAGTTGATAATGTATAAAGCAGAGACCCTGGAAAAGAAAATGAATAGCTTCAAAAAATTCCCCGATTTCGAAAGCCCCCAGGTACAAATTTAAAGCTGAATATCTTCTCTTCTTATCATCTACAATGCAAAAGCAAAAATCTTTATGTAAATTGCCGGCGAGATGTTCTTTGAACATCTCGCCGCATAATCGCTCTCCATCTGGCAAACCCGTCTGGTATGCGGTGCTTCTGTTTTCGACCACGTAATCCTTGCGTCGAGATCGTCTAATTTAGATCCGTGCCTTATCTTCTTTGTAGAACATCTACAACTCAGAAGAAATTCCCTGTGTCGAGTGTTCTTTGAGCGGCGTCGTAATCGCTCTCCATCTGGAATACCGTTTGGATATAGGGTGCTTTCCTTTTCGAACGCAAAAGGAGAATCCGAATTGATACAAATTCCACATTCCTCCAAACGGAGGAATGTGGCTCCCCAGCAGGAATGTGGCTCTCCAGGAGGAATGTGGCTCTGTGGCTTAATCGCTCTCCATCTGGCATGCCGTTTGGGTATAAAATGCTTCCCTTTCCGAATCCAAAAGGAGAATGCGAATGATACAAATTCCACATTCCTCCAAACCAAAATCAAAAGATTTCTTCTTTTAATACCTGATGAATTCTTGATGAACTGAGAAATAAAGAATTGAGGGCTTCTAAAGAGTACGTTTTTCGCCCAAAACACTCAATGATTAAATGCAATCAATGAGGAAAACAGCTTAACAACAAGAAGAGAAAAATGAGAAATCCCTTTGCTCGACCAACGAGGAAGCGCTCGAGAGAAGAGCCTAAAAGTTCGAAATTTACATTGAATTACCATTCATACGAAAGAAAAAGCTATTTTTTTCTTATAAACTATATTGCTTTAAGCTTTGTTTCATTTATTAAACATTTATTAAACAACATTCAATCACTTGCCTTTTCATAGGCTTCCATTTTCTGATTTGCCAACTCTTCCCAATCATTTTCGGATTTTGCGAGTGTTTCTGCCCATAAAACGTTCAGCAGCTCGGCTCGTTTCACGTCTATCCGCTCAATTTTTTCCGAAACAAACCCAAAATCTCTTTTTGTATCATTTACAATGCAAAAGATAAATCCCTATGTTACATAAAAACTGATTTTTTTGGTAAAATATCGGTAATGGGACAAATGCGACTTTATTTCGCGTTTTAAAAAGCTCTAAAAAGCTAATATTTACCAATTTCTATTCGAAAAGTTGTTTTTAGGGCGTAGAATTCAAATTTTGACATATCAGAGCTTGTGGAACGAATTTGAAAGATCAAACGGATAGATGAAATAACAGAAAATTGTCGATTTTTTCCTATGTATATAAGAAATGCGGATTTCAACATTTTCATTCATAAATTTCCAACGATAGAAACCAGATATCGATGAATGTTATAAACTATTTGAAAGTTGTAAATCTTCTCTACAAAATAGGCTAACACGTGTTTCAATTGATCGAACCATTGAAGAAATTTCGAGGGCAAAAGGCGAGTGACCAAAAAAGGAATCCAGTCACTTTAGGTTCTCGGAGGGGCGCTGGGCGTGACGTTAGTCGGCCGAGCGTCCCAGTCTAGATGTCGGTGGTGCTTCGGAGGGTACCAGGGTTGGTTCCGATATTGCTTTGAAGGATTAAGATATACAGGGTGTCCGATGCAAGCCCCCTATTCACAAAATCCTCAAAAAATCAACTTGATCTTGTTATGTGACGCCTGAGGCAAAGCCATTTTTGATACCACGATGAGCCTTGAAAAATCAACGAGAAAATTTTCTCGTCTACAAAACGACTGCCCCGAGAAATGTTTCCAGACTCAAACCGATGACCACTCTTTTTCGGACAGCCTGTATATCGGACTGAGATCCAGTGTTGTCACAGGGGTTTTGGAGGGAACACAGGAGGGGACGGGGTCCCTTAACTTGAGAGATCAAACTATGCTTGATCAAAACTTTTGCCCCAAAACACCAAGCCAGAAAAACCCGTCGTTAGGCGAATTTTTTGGCTGTTTATTTAAACTAGGACGAATTTAAGGCTAAAAAAACAATGAGAACGAAAAACTGATAATAGGAACGCAAATTTCGGTTATTTGATCGGTTATTTGATCAAGAAATGCTTTGAAATGTACAAAAAATTATTTCCTGATTCCAAGAGAACAATCAAAAGTAAGAAAGCAAACAAAAGTAAGAGAACAATCCCTTTCTTTTCATATTCTATAAATTATTATGATTTTATTATTAAGTTTTAATGAGAGAACAATTCTTCAGGGAAAACTTGATTCTCAAAAACCGAACAAACAAAGCTTTCAGCTTTCAAGCTTTCAAAGCATTAAAATAAACACAAATCTTTTGAAATAATCTATCAAATTAAGCTAACCAAGGAAATGAAATCTCATGGGTAATTGTGATTCCTAAAGACTTTTGAAAGCCAATGAGAAATCAAGCCAATGAGAAATCAAGCCAATTAGAAATGCAAAAAATCATAAAATCAAAGCCAGTAGGTTTCTTGATTTCCCAAGATGAATATGGGAAATTATATCCAGATGAATGGAAATATCTTGGTGAAAAAAAAGGACCTAGGCAGAGCGGAAATAGCATTCCCTCGACCCCTCTTTACTCCTTTTATCCACTACTTTTGCATGTCCTTCTCTTCTTCTCTTCGATAATCAAAAACTTGAAAAAGCTCGTGGAAGAGAGACTCTTTTTACTCAATTGCCCAATAAAAACACTGCCAATCATCCGACTCAATGACATGTTCATTCAGTGTTCGTTTTTTGGATGACATACGATGAGTGATTAGTTGTACTTGATTAGTTGTACTTTTAGTTGTACTTTTAGTTGTACTTGATGATACGAATGACCATTACATTACAGATTACAAAGTTCTTTTAAATCTTGTAAATTGTTTGTGTTTTGAATTGAAATGACTTTTGAGAACATGTAAGAATTGACTTTAACAACAAAAAATTGAACAGTCGTTTTGAATTGAACAGCCAATTGAACAGCCAATTGAACAGCCAATTGAACAGCCAATTGAACAGCCAATTGAGCAACCAATTGAACGGCTCTTTGTAACACATCAACAACAATCGAAGGTATACTTTCAAAGGGTTCCCCTAAGCTCTAGTTGAATATCTTTTAGTTTTATGGGAAAATTCAAACAAATGGGACAGCTATGAAATCTACGAAGCCGCACAATCTGCGTAGATCTGCGTAGATTTTTCGTAGCTGTCCCTTTTGTTTGAAATTCCACTAGAAGATATTCAGTTGACTGGGCAAGGGGAATACTTTGAAAGTTTCCAAGGACAGATCATGTTCATTGTGACTTTAGGACCGCTCAATTGGATCATTAGGTAGAATGGAATTAATGATTGGATCATTAGGTAGAATGGACAATCTGGGCAACGGATTGGAGAAGTCTCGTGATCGCCGGGAGTTTAAGCAAGATCTCTTTCAAGAGGACGATTTGAATGGAAACAAAGAGGGAAACCATGGGGATGCAGATTTGATTGCACGAAGTTGCAACGATCGACTTCAAAACTCGACTTCTATTCAGTTCAGATCGACTTCTATTCAGTCGATTTCTATTCTTCAAAAATGATCGGTCTTGTGTGCAGCGCTACATCAAACAAGGAAATGAGCTCGAGAAGCTTTATGAAAAAAGAAAACGGATCGACGGGGTCGGTCGCCGCTTGATTGAACGACGCTTGACGACACGGCTTTGGCGCTGTGGATTCGTGAGCGAAGAGCCGAAAAGAAACGTGTCATTCGTCGAATCATTTGGAACAAAGCAATCTCTGATGCCAAGATTCCATTCAAGAGGATCCACGACTGGATGGTATCGTTTTTGAAGCGGCAATCGCTTTCGTTGAGAGCTCCAACTTGTCAGAAACTTCCAAATGAGTTTGAGAAGATTCAATAAGCTGCAAAGTTCTTTAAAATTGAAATTAACGATTGAATCATTTGTTCAGTTGGAATTTTGTTATTGATAAAGTTGAAAGACTTTTCAATACTCAACAGTGATGTGAGCACAAAAGCACAGCACAATTTTCGATGGAAAAGCCACACTTTCTCATCAACTTTCACACTTTCTCACCAACTTTCTCACTTTCTTTCTCATCTTGTGAGCTGAATTCATTACAAGATACTTAATTTCAATTCATCAAAGAAGATTCGTGATGTTTTC